CTTGTGGGCCAGCCACGGCGGGAAGAGGACCACGTCCCCCTCCTGGACGAACAGCGGCTGGGGCGCGTCGAAGGGAGCGCGGGGCTCGTACTCCTGTTCGGGGGGGGGTTCTCGAGGAGTCCCTGGCCCAGGTTGCCCCTCAGCTCAGCTGCTCGCTCCACTTTGGACCCCTCTCGGGCACTCTCTGGGCCTCGTGAGGGGTGTGCTCCGGAGGCCGCGGGGGCCTCCCTGGAAGTCCTGGGGGCACCTTGGGCCAGGGGCACTCCTTGCAGCGCCCGAACTGATGGGCTTGTTTTCCACCACCACCACCACCACCACCACCATGAGTTGGAGGGGGGAAGGAGGTGGAGGACGAGGAGGAGCAGGAGGACGAAGAGGAGAGGAGGAGGAGGAGGAGGAGGAGGAGGAGGCTGCACCCCGATCCTTGTCGTTGTCCGAGACGCGGTGGCCCACGTCCGCCGGCGGCGCGCCCCGCGGGTCTGCCAGCAGCAGGGGCGTGTCCGTGGGCGTGGCGTAGAGCACGCCGCTGACGACGGCCCGCTCGTGGATGCTCCGCGGACGAGGGGCGGCGCGGCATACAGTCGGCGACCGCCAGCACGACCACCACAGACGCCCCCAGCCCCCCGCCCTGCCTTGCTCTCCCTTCCCTTCCCTGCGGGGCGGGGCAGCCCCTGCCGCAGTGCCATCCCTCCTGCAGCGACGTCCATTACCCCTTGCGTGGACAATTCAATCGTTCATCGAATGGAAACGAAAAGGCAGCCAGGCCAGGAGCGACACCAGGCCAGGCCTTTACCTAAGGAACCCAAAATAAGGAGCGAGGCCCCTTTTGTTCCATAAGGTAAGCTTCGAGTTCCGATCGGGAGCACGAGGAGAACCGGAGGCAAGCTGCGAAACACTCAAGGAACGCGGAGCCGCTCCCCAACGAAAAGGGTTCCTTCTTCAGGGCCCCGACTGTAAAGCTTTCCAGACGCCCTGGGACAGACTCTACCGAATTGCTTGTTGATGAGAGTTCGAAGATTTGCCTTTGCGTGCGCGCGGGCACGACTGGTAGCCTCGCCCTCGCTTTCCCAGGAACCTGACCTACGTGTGCTGCTCGAGCTGCGATCGAACGGCGAATCAATATCGCCAGTTCCACGCCGCTCTTCGCCCGCCAAGATGTGCCAGGGGTGGTGGGCGTGGGTGCCCTCCCACTGCGGATACACCGCCGCCCAGCACACGAGCTCGGCCTGCTCCCCGGGTCCTGGCACCTCTCGGCTGCGCGCGGGAACAACCCCGCAAGCAGGCGTGGCCTGTGGTGCGCGGTTGTCGGGGGCCGCGCAAGGCCAGATCCAACTGCGCTAAACTGGTGCGGGGGGGATCCCCGCGGGCCCGCACCCAGAAGGTCTCGTCCACACCGGCGGTCGGGCCAGAACTCTGGCCTCTGGCGGCGGTCCGGGACGACTCGGGCACACCCAGATCGCCTTCGACGCGGCGCAAAAACATCCCGAGGCGAGAAACATACACTCCTCCGCGTCTTCCTCCTGCCCTCCCCAGGCGTCGCGCTTAATTTGTTGGCTTGTTTTCGCAACGTGATCCCCAGAGGTCCCCCGCCAACAGGTCACCCCGTCGAAGGGTCATTCATTGTGCGCAGGCGAGCCTCCCAGCCAGCCCCCTCGCCGAAGTGCGCCAGGTACTCCAGCGACGCACGCCGAGCGAGGCTGACGACGGCCTCGTACTCTGGTGACTCGAAGAGTTCGGGCCAATCTGGCCGAGGCTGCCTCCAGAGGAAAAACATAAATACACCACATAGCAGTATGTTCATATTACTTTCATAAACCATGCGTGTTCATCTGCATGTATGGGGGAGTCGGTCTGGCGGCTACGTTGTCGCCATCGCCGCCCCGTCGCCGCCTCTTCGCCGCCAGTCGTCTGGGGGGGGTCGGTCTGGCGGTTATGTTGTCGCCGTCGCCGCCCCGTCGCCGCCACGTCTCCGCCCGTCGCCCGGGCCTGATGGTCAGCGTCGCCGCCCCGTCGACGTCGCCGCCAGAATTACACCGCATAGAGCGCACAATGCCGACTGCATGACACAGATCCTCCTTCTCTAAAAGAAGAATAGACTCTACCCCCCCCACACA